AGCTCAGGTAAATTCAGCCTGGAGTATCGGCTGATGGTTCAGCTGATCCTCATCTTTGTAAATATCCAGTTTGCAAATCACAAAAAGACACTGTCTTTAAAGAGTTTTTTCTTGCACATTCTTACTGCACACCTGCAAGCCACCTTGCAACCCACCACAGTTCCTTCTTTGCATTCTGTGTCTGCCTTAATGCATATGATGCCCTTTGTCATTCATGCATACTCTGTTCTCTGCTAAGGTCTTGCTGCTGCTCACCAGTATGCAAGTGAAAGCTAGCTATTTTTTCCCTGCCTTATGCTTTCCAAATATGTGGACAGAAGGGTGGGGATTTGTCCCAAAACAAAACCTGCTAATATATCTTACTGCAGACTGACAAACAATCTTCTTCCGACTGTACCCACCAAGCACTGAATGACCACTAACATTGTTTTCTGGGCTAAATCTTGTCAGGTAGTCATGGCCTTAAAAACAAATCCCTGTATGTCTAAATTTGGTTGAAAAAGTAAGTTAAAATTCATCTTTTCAAGACATTGCAAAGATGTCTAGAAATAAAAATGGGCTCTTTTTGCTGTTAGCGCATTCAAAGGCAGTCTGACAACACAGAGTGATGACTGCAAATAAATCCCACAAAACCAAAACCAAAAATTTATTCACAACCTCATGTATTCAAATTATAAAGAAGCCCAAAAGCAGTAACATGTCTTCTTGTATTCACGGTAAACCAACCAACTCTTGGACAGCTTATTAAACACCTGCATAACTATGCAACAATAATCTAAGGGTGACAATAAGTTCACTGTGATGGATTACCCTGCTCCAGCAGTCGTGAAGTCTGCTGATTTTCACAGTGCAGCAAAATAACGGAAAATTATGACTGGTGGGAAAAGTAGGAGTTCTTTGGGAAACAACAGTAATTTTAAGTAAATGTGAGATGCAGGTTTGAAATGCAATATTCAGGGAATGTTTTGTAAGGTCAGGAGAGAATTACAGCTGACAGGTTGCTAACAGAGTGTAAGTATTGTCAAAGTGCAAATATAAAACAAACTCTTACCTATCAGGGAGCACTCTTTTCGTGTAGAAATCAGGGAGTCCATCATCCAGAGGGCTTATCCCACCATTTTCACTGCAGTGCTGTGCACACACAGACACAAACACACACTTAAAATCTTTTTAGAGAGGTCAGTTTAGTGGGTTTCATTTGTGAATGTTATGTATTTGCAATAAAACAAATGGATTACAATGCCTTTACTGAGATGACATAATCCAGTTGCAGGCACCCAATTTGAATAGATTACTTCTGCAAAGATAGCAGTCATCGCCAGCAGGCACATATTTTGGGAAATGGGAGAATTATGCATAGATATATAGATAAATGGTTGGAGATTTGCGTAAAGGTGATGTATACTGAATTATTGGGTGCAGCTGCAGATTATTTAACATTTTAATATGTGTCAAACAGTGCCAAGATCAGGCAAGCTTTACTCTCTCAGACGGGATGTGCCCTCCCTTGTGTCTCCGCGGAGGCCTTGGACGAACTCGCGTTACGTGATGAAGGGGCAGACCCTGCGTAGGCAGCTCTGACAGACCCTCCCAGGATGCCGAACGGGATAGCGGTGACGAGTATGATGGCACGGAAGGGGGTGGAGAGGAGCTGGAGTCATCACACAGGCCTGATGGCAGCGAGGAGCAACAAAGGGATAGAGAGGATGTGAGGACAAGAAACTGAGAAGGAACTGTCAAAGAGTGGGGAGATTACAGGGAGTCATCATTTCTGCTTCAAAGTCATCAAATTCAAAACAATCAGTAACTGCTCTGACATATAGTGACTCAGACTTGGCTCAGGCTAGATTATAACAGCCATTAACAGACTTCTGAGAAGAAGAGATGGAAAAGAGGGGAAAACCGACTACAGAAAACGCTAATGGAGCTTCGGGAGAGACAAGGAAGGGGTCAGAGCTGACTGAAGAGAGAGGATAATAGGCTATACAGCAGTACTCACTCAGCCTGGTGGAGACAGGTCGTATTCGTCTTGTTCTAGAGCTGTGCTTCTTAATGGCTATTGTGTCCTGGGAGAAAAAAAAGAAAAAGTAAAAGTTGCTGAGATGCTGAGGGAAGGAATTAGAACGAGACACGCATGCAAACAGGCAAACAGGTCAACGGAAATATTGTACAAGACGACCTTTAGGGCAATCACCGCTTTTGCCAATGAAGACTTGTCAAGTCAAGGTGCAAATTTTAGACATATTGATCATGATGCTGTTTAAAATCCAGCAAAAGCTTATGGATTTCACATGTAGAAAGAGCAAAAATGTTCCCAGTGAAGCCTTTCTCTAGTTGAGTGGCCTTATATGTATAATGTAGGCCCAATGAAAAAAGACTGACTTTATTGTGTGTAGAGAAAATGTGGCAACCACAAATCAGCAGAAGTGCTGTTGTGCATACGTCACATAACTGCGGAGTTGGTGTATGGAGCCATGAGGCATGTTAGAGTAAGCTGACAAAAACCAGAGGTCTCCCTGCTACAGTTAGGAGAGACAGATTTGAAAAGGTAAGAAAAACAGACTGAGGAAACCCAAAGTTTTAAGTTAAAGATCCAATTGAAAATAAATTACTGCAGAGAGATTTTCAGAAGAAACAAAACAGCTGGCTAAGTGTTTCTGGCCTTGATAGAGGTGCTGCTCTAGGGATGACACTGCCAGTCTCATCAATTTGGTCCAGACTGAAATAGAAAGTAGCACAATAAGGGGGTGAAAATTTCAGCCAACTCAAACATTTGGTTTATATATCTGCAATATAACTGTACCATCATTTAGACACCAGCTTCACAAGACTGCTAATATTATCAATAGCCCATCAAGGTAAATGAATCTTAGGTTATGAGTGCAAAATTAGACGTAAATATAATTAATTACATTTTAAATATAACAGAAAGACCCAGGACGGATCCTTGAGGATCTCCACAGGTAATGTTAGCAATTACTGTTACTGTCACCAAAATCAGGCACAAGAGCAGACAATGCAAAGACCGTTTACTTCCTCAAGAATATTGACCCGGACTGTGATTGCGTAAAATATTTGAAATGAAGCTTGATCAAATGCATTTCATTAAAAAGCTGAGACACCAAAGTACTGAAGCCTACAATGTCCATGATGTATTAGTTGAGACAGCAAGGTATTGGTTTCATTTTTGCAATACAACAATCTTCACTAGCTGTATTACTCAATGAAATAGCAATGTTTCAAATTCCTTGCAGGTAATGATTGAGCAGACTGTGATGTATAAAGTCCCGTACTTAAAGTAGATTCTTGAGATAATGTCAGGGGACGGTTTTACTCCTGCAGTTTTACCAGCTGTGTTGTAGATACTGAGCTATTGATTTAGTGCGTCAGCAGAAATGTCCTTTTTCTTCCTTTTTTCAGGTTTATTCGGCCTCCTGGCATTTCAGCCATATTGGTAACATTCAGATAATATTTGGTTTCAGGTTTAGTTTTCTCATTTGGAGAGATGATAAGAAGAATTCTGCAACTAATAGACAGACAAAAGCTCTAATTTACTGTTAATGAGCAAATGTAGATACAGCACACAGCGGAGAACTCATTTTAAAACTGGGAAAGGGAAGGAGGTGTAGCTGCTCCATAAGAAGATAAGAATATTTTAATAACTTCAGAATTTTGTGCATCAACATCATGGAGAGCCACAAACTTAAATATTCATCTATAAAAAGCCTGCTTTTTCTTCATTGTCCATTGTCTATTGTATCTAACAATAACTTGATTTCTGTTTAATGCCAGTCAGGCTTTCAGGTAGCAATTATTGGCCTTTTGAAACATGGACATTCAATATCGTGCTTCAATCACTACAATCAGTAGAAGCTTCTAAAGGCCAAACACAATTGTACTGACTATACATCATCAATTCAAGTATTGTTAAAGCGTCTCCAGTGAAGGAGTGGGAGCCTTTCAATATTTCTGACCTTTAACTGTAGTGTTCCTGTCAGGAAAGTCAGCTTAATGTTTCAAATGTCAAAACCCGGAGGAAAAAGTCCTCATTCCTGCAAGTTTTGTCACTACTGAAACTATTTTTGCCTTAGCTGTAGTGCTCAAATTTAATAACGGGATAAACAAGCAGGGGATCGTAAACCTAATTTAATCAGCACACTTGCTGATGCATATATGATTGCAATGACAAACATGAAATATTGCGATTATGCAACAAAATACAAAACTGAGAAACAATTCTCCTTTCCATGTCAGACACAAATTGAAAACGGTTTGAAATATTAGACTAATATATGTGAAATCACACTACTTCAGGGTCTTCATGAGAGTCATGATACTTTATCATAACTCCAGGAATTCAGTTTCTACAGCTAGCTGCTCAGAGGCAAAATAAATGCTGAAGGCAAGGTGGGGGGGCTACTTCCTGGGCTTTTTCAATTTGCTAAAGATTGCTAAGAGGTAATGTTAGATGGGATAAAATTAATTTAAATCTCTGAAATGATTTTGTTTGATAGCAAGAAAAGATCACACGGAGAGGGCTGCAGGTAATAAAGCCCCTCAGCCCATTTGTGTTGATAAATTGGGCATACTAAAAAAAAGTAAAACATTTCCTGTAAACATTTACATTTAGTTATCATTTCATATTTACTAACGGCATCCTTATCTCATTTCATTTCGATGGCATGTTGGTGCAGTGTTTACTGTTACTGCTTTACAATTAGAGGGTTTCAGTCTCAACCACCTGGTTCAAACGGGTCTTTCTATGTGTTCTGGAGCTTGGATGCTTCCTCAAGGTACTGTGACTTCCTCCCTTAGTTCAAAGACATTGGTGTTAGGTTAAATGGCAATTTGAAAATTTGAAACTGGCCCTGAGTGTGGTTGTTTCCCACTCCCTGAGCCTGGTTCTGCTGGAGGTTTTGTTCCTGTTAAAAGGGAGTTTTTCCTTCCCACTATTGCCAAGTGCTTTCTTACAGGGGGTTGTTTGACTGTTGGGGTTTGCTTCTTGGCTGTTTTTGCGTTTTAGCATTATATCAATAAAACTGAATTCACTTTAAATATTTAATTGAATATTTCTCGTATATGGGTCCCAAGACACACGTAAGTTCACTCACTATGCTGGTGCTGAGCTCTTCATCTGTGATGTCCAGAGAGTCCCTGTGCCTGTTAAACCTCCAGCCTGTCCCATCTTCACACGTCCCCTCCCAGCATTTAAGATGAGAGACCTGCCGAGTCTGAGAAAGACAGCACTCCTAAAACTTTTGCTCCAAACAAAACCTGTGTATCCTTTACAGTTTCACAGTAAATGCTTTGTGTTTACCAGGTTCTTATGGGTGGCATAGAGCTCCTGAAGGATCTGGTCCACGATGGAGTTGGTGAGATAGGAAACCACTGACAGCTTTACTTCTCTGCAGAAGATTGGGTTAGAGGAAAGGAGAGACTGACGGGAAGAAGCTTGGTAAAAGTGAGAGCAAATCAATATTCTTCTTATCAAATTCAGACTTATTGTTGCTGCTTCAGCGTCTCACTTACTCCAAGGCTCTGTGAATGTCCTGTGCTGCTCTTTCCATAAGGGCAGTGCGAATGGCAGAGCGAGGATGGACACACGCTCAGAGACAGATGAGAGGGTGGCTTAATCTCTCTGCTGCAGAAGAAGATAGAGGGCAGAGCTCGCGGCACAGAGACACCATGGAGTCGACAATCACCTGCAATGGATGCCAGCGATCGGTGACTCTGTCATCTGTTACATATCAGTGTCAAAAAAAGAGGCTGCTAGATGTACCTGCAGCTCCTTGTCAGCAGCTTTGGCAAGTTCGCCAGCCAAGGAGTCGAGTCTCTGCCGCACCGGCCCATCCACAGACAGCACATGAGCGAGCTCACACAGTGAAGGGTAGAGCTTGGAGCACCACAGAGAAAGGATTCATTCATATTCAGTGTGACAACAATGCAAATACTACGCTTGCACATTTCACATCACTCACAGCGCGAGAGTTCCTCGCCTCTTTTAGCACTTGTTTTGCAGCTTGAATCTCCTCCATCTCTCCGACGCCCCGTAATAAACACACCTGCTGCTGGACACGCACACAGAGGCGCTCCATCACCTTGGAAACAGACAGGCGGGGGAGTGTTACAAGTGCAAACACTCACAAACAGACGCAGATGCGAGCGCACGCTGACGAGCCCTACCTGTTCGGCGGTGCTGGTGACCAGGCCCTGATGGAGCCGCAAAGCCTGTCTCTGAGAGAAGCGCTGAGTCTGGTTGTTCCTCACCAGAGCACGCTGGATCTGTGCGGCAAAACGATTATCACGATTATACTCTCACCATGAAAACATGAAGAGCACGAACAGAACATAAGAGGCGGCAATGCAAGAAGGAGATTTCAGCAGAAGGAAGAAAGTGCAAAGAGCCAAGTAGAGGGTGCTGTCATTTTACAACAAGCAACAAAAGCATCTTAAGACTAAGATGACTGTAGAATCCTTGTTAAAGCTTTAGAGGTGGCTCCCTAAAGCTCTTAGAAATTAACACAGCCTTTATCCAAAGCCCTTGTCCCTCTCCTTTCCTCAAGAGAGAAATAATTACAGTAATAACTAGAATTTGCTTGTTAAGTCTAATTTATGAATCTCCTAAAATGCCACTTTCCCGATGCTGTTTGAGTTTACATTCATGTATTCATAAACAAGTAAACAGAAAAATAAATGAACAAAATTATTGCACATTTATTCACCACTGTCTGTTTGTCGGCACCGCAAACAGAATGTGTTAAGAGGCTCTTCATGGTAGGCGCTTGCACTCAGTCTTAAGTGCTGCAGAAATTTAAGAACATATGAAGAAAACATTCTTTCACAGTTAGGCTTAGGATGAACTTGCTTTCCCGATAAGCCTGTAGTACAGCTTCATCTCAGACATATGAAGCTTTTAGATAAACCTCGTCATCTCTTGATGAATTTCACTGTTTTGTGCGAAACTACGCAGATTCCTCCAGAGGTCCAAATTTTGCACAACACGTTTCTTTGAGCACACCAAGTTTTCATTCAAATACCTCATATTTGTTTTCATTTGCTTCGGATAATGTCTTTGTCTACAGTCATAAACATCTGCTCATTTATGACCTCAAAGCATTTGATGAATTTATAAAAGGGCAGAAATTAATTTTGAAGAGTCAACACCAAAGTGTTTTGTTGTGAACTAGAAGAATTTAATTAAATCCCTCTAGCGTCTCCTGTAGGTTGAAAGCTTTTAGGGATTAGGGTTGTTAGGTAGGGCTCTTTATCTCTGTTTTTGAGTTACCCCAACGGTCCCCAGGCCACTGATGAAGAAGCTATTAAGCTTTTTTTAATCTTCCCAGTTTTAAGTAGTACTGTAATAACTTTATTGGTGGCTTTACTCCAACCGTCCCAACCTTGGTCAACGCCTGCTCTGTCCTCTCAGGGGCGCTGCGGTACGCCTGGCTGATGTCACTTAGGGGTAGAGGCATGTACTGTAAGGTGAAATTACTGAGAGGAGAAAGCAGAAAACGAGGGAAGGGACAAGTTATTAAGGGAGACAGTAAGAGACTAAAAAGAGAAAATAAAGTGGGTTACAGAGTCCAGGGTTAGTTAGGGTTAATATCCCCACTGGACAGAGCTCATCCTAAAATATTTTTCCTGTGCCATTCAGTGACTGAGTAATACTTTGATCCTTGCAACCATGTCATCTTTTGCCTAAAGGCAAGTCTGGACCACTTAAGATAGCAAAGTGGAAAACAACAATTTGCACAGCTGAGCAACATGGTTAAATGTTCTCAAACATTCTTTAATAACATTTCTTAAAAATAGTTCTAGCAGTAGATGTGTAAGACATGCTCTTATTTATTGATTAGAGTCCAGTGGGCATACATACAGAATAGATGTTGATAATATATATTTTTAACACTCTTACTGTTCAAGTGCTCGGGCCACATCGAGAAATCCTGCTGCGGAGGTGTTGTTGCGATCCCATGTCACACTCCTGCAGGGCAAGGTCAGAGTTGCATAGAATACAAACTTCCACACAGAGCACAAGTCACTGCAAAGACTGCAGAAACCCAGGAAAAAAACTTTACACTTAGTCTTTCGTTCACCTGAGTGTTGTGTTGATTTGAAGGGCTTTGCTCAGCATCTTGGCTCCAATGTCTTCCATGCTATTCCCGCTCAGATCCACTTTTCTCAAGCAGGTGTTGCTACCCAGGGCGTTGACTAGCACGGTGCCCCGAGAACGCAGGCGTGAGTCGCAGAGGGACAAAGACTGAAGGGCCTATAGAGGGAGGGGTTACAAGCATGTGAGTTAATAAACGAAGCGGAGAAGACTGTTCAGGAAAAAGAAAAGAAGCACGAGAAGCCAGGAGGTGACATTTAGCAAATAGTGCTTTGACTTGACTTTACATGCTGTTTGCATGAATTATTCACAATATGTGTAGTGATATAGACACTGCGCCCACAATGTTAACAGAGGAACAGTAATAATTGATGAAACAGTGACACATCTCCAGTGAAACATAATGCAAAAATTATGTGCCCAGGAATCTGAGCAGTATTTTAACTGTAAGCAGAACCCTACTTTTAATTAAAAGCAGTATAAAGAAAGTTGACATATGGGGAAAAAAATGTACAAAAATATATTCTCATTTTGAATTTGACACAACAAATATATGTAATCATTCAGTCTTCTGAAAAAAACATTATTTATTATTTTAATAATTTAATTAACTGAAAGTCAATTAAGTTTATCTTTGCAGAATATGATGAATTTTAATGTCTCTGCAGCTGATTTATGCTTTTTCTATTTCTACTGTTTGCAATCAAAGCACATTGCCCTTTAAATTTTGTATATCTATTCTAGTTACTCACACATTCTTCTTCTTGCATGAGTTGAACTAGCTTCTGCAACACTTCATCCAGAACCCTGCAGATGACAAACACGGAAACAAAGCAGGATGAGCTGGGTCGAGTCATCTCCTGCTGCCTGAGGAATGGCAGCCACTTATGAAAACAGAACTACAAGAACAAATGTGTATATTCAAGCTGGCATATGCAGTGCAAGCATGTTTGTGCTCAGATACACACACAGTCATGCGCATAGGGTATATCCATAAATAACTGCAGTAAAGCATGACAGAGAGCACTGACAGCACCTGTTTTGATGTTGAAGTTCTTGCCCAGATGAAGGTGTTTGAGGGAAGGGTGTCTAGAGAGGGCTGGCAGGACTGTGAGTAAGTCTGCGTCGAGACCTGTCAAAACACACACACACACAGCTCGACATTAGCAGCCCACTCCAACCTCAGCTGCCCAAGGATAAAAAGTCAAGGTCATGGTTGGATGTTCTGCAGCGTGCCACTGTACCGTTGTCGGAGATATCGAGAGTAGCGATGGAGGAGACTCTAGGGAAGAGTTCCTGGATTACAGCAGCTCCTGCAGACCTTAGCTGGAGAGAGATAGAGACAGATGGGAAAACTAACATGTGCACAGCCATGAATCAGAGTCATTTTAACTTCAGTCTTTGGGGAATTGTTCCATTTTCCACAGTGGGGCAAATTTATGGATTTATGTCCCTGCAAGCTTTGCTTTGTTTGTGATCTGCAGCAGTTCAGCTCAAAGAGAGGGGAAACCCTTTACGCTTCAGTACACAATCCTCTGTACTGTTTAGCTATTTGATTTACTTAAAATATATAGGATTATCATTAGTAAGCTCTTTAAATCTAGTAAAATACAGGGAGTGCAGAATTATCAGGCAAGTTGTATTTTGAGGAATAATTTTATTATTGAACAACAACCATGTTCTCAACGAACCCAAAAAACTCATTAATATCAAAGCTGAATGTTTTTGGAAGTAGTTTTTAGTTTGTTTTTAGTTTTAGCTATTTTAGGGGATATCTGTGTGTGCAGGTGACTATTACTGTGCATAATTATTAGGCAACTTAACAAAAAACAAATATATACCCATTTCAATTATTTATTTTTACCAGTGAAACCAATATAACATCTCCACATTCACAAATATACATTTCTGACATTCAAAAAAAACAAAAACAAATGAGCGACCAATATAGCCACCTTTCTTTGCAAGGACACTCAAAAGCCTGCCACCCATGGATTCTGTCAGTGTTTTGATCTGTTCACCATCAACATTGCGTGCAGCAGCAACCACAGCCTCCCAGACACTGTTCAGAGGTGTACTGTTTTCCCTCCTTGTAAATCTCACATTTGATGATGGACCACAGGTTCTCAATGGGGTTCAGATCAGGTGAACAAGGTGGCCATGTCATTAGTTTTTCTTCTTTTATACCCTTTCTTGCAAGCCACGCTGTGGAGTACTTGGACGCGTGTGATGGAGCATTGTCCTGCATGAAAATCATGTTTTTCTTGAAGGATGCAGACTTCTTCCTGTACCACTGCTTGAAGAAGGTGTCTTCCAGAAACTGGCAGTAGGACTGGGAGTGAGCTTGACTCCATCCTCAACCCGAAAAGGCCCCACAAGCTCATCTTTGATGATACCAGCCCAAACCAGTACTCCACCTCCACCTTGCTGGCGTCTGAGTCGGACTGGAGCTCTCTGCCCTTTACCAATCCAGCCACGGGCCCATCAAGACTCACTCTCATTTCATCAGTCCATAAAACCTTAGAAAAACCAGTCTTGAGATATTTCTTGGCCCAGTCTTGACGTTTCAGCTTGTGTGTCTTGTTCAGTGGTGGTCGTCTTTCAGCCATTCTTACCTTGGCCATGTCTCTGAGTATTGCACACCTTGTGCTTTTGGGCACTCCAGTGATGTTGCAGCTCTGAAATATGGCCAAACTGGTGGCAAGTGGCATCTTGGCAGCTGCACGCTTGACTTTTCTCAGTTCATGGGCAGTTATTTTGCGCCTTGGTTTTTCCACACGCTTCTTGCGACCCTGTTGACTATTTTGAATGAAACGCTTGATTGTTCGATGATCACGCTTCAGAAGCTTTGCAATTTTGAGACTTCTGCATCCCTCTGCAAGATATCTCACTATTTTTGACTTTTCTGTGCCTGTCAAGTCCTTCTTTTGACCCATTTTGCCAAAGGAAAGGACGTTGCCTGATAATTATGCACACCTGATATAGGGTGTTGATGTCATTAGACCACCCCTTCTCATTACAGAGATGCACATCACCTAATATGCTTAATTGGTAGTAGGCTTTCGAGCCTATACAGCTTAGAGTAAGACAACATGCATGAAGAGGATGATGTGGACAAAATGCTCATTTGCCTAATAATTCTGCACTCCCTGTAAGTAAAAGCATAACAGATTTTTGGCAGTTGACAGTCATATTATAACATAGCTGACACTTCTGCCCTTACAGTATTTAGTGTTGGAATGAACTACAATTACAAGTACATAAACATAATTTAGAGGTATTTGTGTTTGGGGTGCTTTGACATATATCAACAGATATCACTATAAATTTGACAAATACTGAAAGGCTACAAATCTAAAAAAATAACTTAATTCTTTTATATTTACAGTGATATTAATTTCTTTCCTTCAATCACATCATTTGGCAGCAGGACGCATACATCTACCTGTGAGGAGAAGCTTATGATGGTGACAGGCGGTAAACATTAAAAGCACCCCCCCCCCCCCCTCCCACACACACACACACACACACCACATACACACCCCCACCTCCGGCAACGCACACAAAAAAAGAAAAATCAAGATGAATTAAAAAAAAAGAAAAGAAAGTCAGTTTAAAAGTAAAGCTTCTAACTGCAGAATGTAAATCTATAAAACTGTGGGCTGAAACTAAGAGACTTATGACCTTATACAAACCAGATGTCTATTTACATAACCAGCAGAAACACTATTATTTTTCTAGCTACTGCCAGGCAATTGCAAAGCTAATATTTATATTCTGCCATCTTCCCTTCTGGGGAAATACACTTAAGCTGCCAAGTACTATGGTGTGTTAACCAGTGTCTAACTCCCAAATAACTTTTTTTGGGAAGTTGATAACTCTTTGTTGGTTTGCCATCAAGAGACCAAGTTTCACATTACATGCATGGTCATTTGATCCATTTTTAGTCTAAAAATACTGATAATGGCTGCTTGCAGTAAATAATCTTAACACTTTTACAAAAGTTCACCTTGGTAAAACTCCCTTTCAAAATGCTTTCAAAGTCCAATTTGAAAATAAAACTTTTCGGTTTATCTCAACTGCATCTGATGCAAGATACGCTCATCTGATACACTCCAGTGTAAATAAAATCAGCTGCATATGGAGGCCACGAAAGCTTGCTACTTTCTTGCACTATAAACCTGTCAATGAAACCGAAAGCACAAGTTAAAGCTCACATCTGCACTCTGCATTTGGTTCAGAGGGATTCAAAAACACAGGTGACCTATAGCTCAATACTCCGCCTGGACACCTCCCGTGTTGAAATCCGGTGTAGGTGTGAAGATGAGCTCTCACCTCACAGCCGCTGATGTCCAGATGAAGGTCATTGATATGAGGATTGGAGGTTAACCCTGTGAGGAGAGCCCTGCGGAGACAGAAAGAAGAGAAATGACGGACAAGGAAAAGACAAGCAGAAGGAGTATTAAAGGTCTCGCTGGCACAGCCTTTATTGCAGAGGAGTTCAGATAAAAGGGAGCATATTTGGATAGAGAATTAGAAGTGACATGGTAGGTACCTCAGAACATCAGGGGCAGCTTCATAGAGGCCAGGCTGACATGAGTGAGGCTGAAAGCTGAGCTGAAAAACTGACGGAACAACGGCAGCGTATCCTTCACTTTCCTATTGGATTAGAATCCCCCCCCCCCCACAGAGGATCAAAGCGAGAAGATGTAGAGGTGAAGAGATAATACGGAGAGTGGGATGGGATGAAACCGACCACACACAGCAGATGAAGTCACACTGTTGACATTCCAGGTAAATTTGAGTGCAGAGCTGAGTGTAGACTACTGACAAAGAATGAGAAATATGAGTGAATATTGCTTTGGTGTAAGAGGAGGGAGCGAGTGGGGTCAAATGATAGATAGCTCTGCTTAAACATTCATGAGTCTTATCTATGCAGACTGTGCCGAAAGTTCTGCTTTTAAACGGCAGTAGACACACCCACAGAGAGGAAACACAATGTTCCAGAGATTCCCACAAAGCACATTTCTGATTTCCCATTAAGCAAGAAATGAAGATAACAACTGACAAAAAAAGAAAAAGAAAAAAAGATGGAGACGGAATGACATGAGCGGAAAGATGATGCCTTTAAGGTGAAATAGGGATGATGTCTTCCCAGATTTGGGTTTGGAGCTGCGTTTATTGTTTCGGTAATCTTAAAGATATGACTAACCTGTGGGAGAAGGAATTTTTGGAAAGATTCAGAAAGGAGAGATCAGCACAACACCCCCTCAGAAGAGCCCCAAATAGCTGCATGACACACAGGGTGGAAACGGTTAATTTGGGCTGAGAATTGCACGCAGAGAGAAATGCATTTTTTTAAAAATTGCACATGCATTAGGGATGCGCAGATAGTGATGGCAATGTTGCTTTTTTGTGTTTATGTTTGTTTTGTTGAAGAAATCTCAATTATAAAAAAAACAACTTCACTGACTTCTAGCTTGTCGTCACGCACTCTTTGAACATTTAGCAGCAGACAAACGTTGGCAAGTGCTATCCAAAAAATGTAATCTTAGTTACCAATAAGCCCTTACTGCTCTTCAGGCGATATCAAAGTGCATCCCAAAGACACACATTTGATCACACCCACCCATTAAATACTCACTGAGTCAACACAGCAGTCTGTGCCCGACAGATCCAAGTGGACCAGGCAGTTGGGTTGAGACAAGAAGAGATAAAGGTTCTGCGAATAGGTCGAGAAGAGGAGAAACATCGTATTAGGCTGAAAAAGTGGAGATTAAATGGGGCAGCGTGTATTTGTGTTTCCAGATGGCTTGTGCTTTCTGACCGATGCATCCTCCCCCGAGAGGACCCGGGTTCTTGCTCAGGTCCAGGTGCAGCAGGGAGTTAGAGTACTCATCGCTGGAGCACAAAGCCTGAGAGAGAAACCACTCCTGAGAGAAAGGGGAGTAGAGCGCAGAGAGATGAAATGAAAAATGAGAAAGATGAGAGCTGGTAGCTGTACAATATTAAAAAGGAGAAAGAGAATGCTCTCAAAACATTTTGTGTCTTTAAATTATTCATAGACATCTTGGAGCAGCAGGTATCAGTGGATGTTATGGGAAGTAGCGCAATTCAATGTAATATTTAAATTCTCCGCTGGGTACCCTGTACGATGAGACAGTAGCAGAAGGCATGCTGCCTGCAGGGCAGCACATGACATTGTAAGTAAATATGGAGTCATAGCGGGGCGAAAGCATAAAACAAAGCTCTGAAAACATTATATCCCCTCAACCACAGTATGATCTAACCCGAGCTCTGAAAGCTGCAGGGGATCCAACTTGTTCTCCTCCTGATTTTGGTGAGTAACACCTGTGCCATACTTTTATTTAACTCACAGACAGGGGTAAATAAGGAAAAAAACAAGGTGGGGCAACTCCTAACCTTTGGAGGTGAGTGAGGTCTTGGAGAGGTTGAGGAGACGAAGCCCCTTGCTGAGGCGACACACTTGCTGGATTAAGTTGGACACACCTGCAGCATGAACACAGCAGATATAAAAAGTGAGTCGCAGAATTTCTTGTCACTTGAAAGTAATTTTCACTGTAACAGATGTACCTGCTTCTGAGTTAACGGATCAGGGACCAGATAAGCCAAAATGAGCCACTATTTTCTTTTACTATTGGACTCAACAGACCCTTTCGGGTAATATTTAGATATAGAACAATGAGAGCCAGTGAAAATAGAACTGTCTTTCTTCATCACATCAAACACAAGCTTGAGTTTTTCTCCAGACCCAAAGATTAAATTAGAAAAACAAAAAAGGGAGATAATTTACGATACCTTGGTTATCCAGTGAGTTGTGCGCCAAGTTGAGGGAATGGATGACAGATGCAGGGTTCTCTGAAAGAGCTACTGACATCTTCTGTGGGAAGTCACTGCAAAAGTGGGTGTGCAGTTACCTACAGAGAGCTGCAACTGCAGTTGAAGTATCAGGTTCATTATAAATCTCTTGGTTTATAAATGTTGAGTGCCCATCATGATGTACTGATGTGCTTTTTGTGTGACTTTTGCTGCATTGCCACTACAAGTGACATAGTTACAACAGCCACGTGTGGCCAGAAACACAGTTTTCATAGTTTTGCTGCAGTTCAGGGGTGTCAAACATAGGGCCCATGGGCTGGAACCGGCCTGGCAAAGACTCCTATCTGGCCCACTGGATAGTTTTGAAAAATGTGAAGGAGGGCATTAATTTTGAACTTTTAGCTGTATTTTCAAAGGTTTTGCAGCTTTGGCTACTGACAAAGATGTCCCTTACAACCATTCTTACTACACTAGAGTAAATAAGTTATAGATAAAGATAGAAAGATAAACAATGACATGAGAGAAAACTCATCTACTATGGAAATGTCATTTTTTACAATATGCTCGCATTTTTTTAAAAGGACATTTTATGTGAATTAACAAAATGTTTCTGTTGTTTCATTACAGGACCGTCTGGGATTTAAGCTACCAGAACTTTGTCTGTAATTTTACATATTTATTTCTTACAATTTAAGCTCAAACTGTCATTCCTGGCAAATTTATTTCATTTATTAGATCAATATTTCTCTATCATGTAGAAAAAGAAGTGCCATCTGTTAAATGTGTAGTCAAACTTTGCACTGATGGAAGCAGGAGTTTCACTGATCCAACCCACCTAAGATCAAAGTGGGCTGGTATGTGTCCCACAGTGTAAAATGAGTTTGACATCTTTGCTCTAGTTACTTGTTGACATGTTCTCTGAGCTTCTGTGTTTGAGAGGAAACATAAAAGCATACCATAGCTGATTCTTAAATAAATCGCTGCAGAGCTTCAGGCCAGCTCATATTTTGCAGTATATATATATATATATATATATATATATATATATATATATATATATATATATATATATATTATATATTTTTTTTTTGTAATGAATGAATTTTAAGTCAAACATTCAAAATGTGATTAAATTGCAAACTTTCAGCTTTAATTAAAGACGTTTTTAAAACTCAGTACTGCATTATTTAGGAAATACATCCATTTTTATACATAGTAGCTCATTTTCAGAGGCTCAAAATTAATTGGAAAAACTAATAATTTTAAATACAAGGATTATTTTTAATACTTGGATAGAAATTCACAGCCAGTGACTGTCTGAAGTCTAGAACCCGTGGATATCACCAAATGCTGCCTTTCTTCCCTTTAGATTCTCAGCCAGGCCTTTACTGCAACCAGATTTCAGTCATTGATTGTTTGTGGTTCTCTCTGCATTCAGGTTTGTCTTCCGTTACTTTAAAGGAATGGTCCATTAGGTTAAGATGAAGTGACTGACTTGGTCCTTCAGAATTCATCCTGCTACTTTTATCAGCAGTCACACTATCAATAAACACTTGTGACCCGGATCCACTGGCATCTATACATGACCACGCCAAAACATTGCGTCCACCATGTTTGACAGATGATGTGGTATGCTTCAGATCATGAGCAGTTTCTGTCTTTTTCCATACTTTGTCTTTCCATCATTCTGGTACAAGTTCATCTTGTTTTCAATAAACCAACTAGTATTTTTCCAGAACTGTGCAGGACGAGAAGTTTTCTCACAAAATCTAATCTGACCTTGTTGTTCTTGAATGTAACCAGTGGTTTGCACCTTGTTGTGACTCCTCTGTGTTTCTATTCATGATGATGTCTCAAGAATGTAGTCAAGGCGCTTCTAAAATCATCTGTTTTAGTTGTCTTCTATAGTCTTGTCGGCTTTTTGATGCTCATTCGTTTAAAAGATCCAGTATATTGTTCATTTGACCATTCAAAGTTTTTTCTATATGTGATCGTCTTCCTTATTTGCATTGGCATCTGCGCCAAACTCACATAAAGAATTCCAGTGAACAGCTACCAAAACAAGTCCAACTCCTCATCCTTGCATCTTCTTTTACCTGGCTAATTTGTCATACAGTAATGAGGGAACATACCTCACCTGCTTAGGAAACTGCTTGTCAGCCAATGGTCAAATTATTTTTGAGCCTCTGAAAATGGGAGATTCTGTATAAAAACACAATTCCTAAACTGTTAAAGAAAAGTTTTATAAAACCACTTAAATCAAAACTAAAAGTCTGAAATTTAGAGGCAAAAATTCTATAAAATCCAACAACTTTTGGCCCTCATTGTATTTGTAGCGAGACACTTCTTCACCAAAGCATGAACACAGCTTAACAGCATAAAACACAAAGATATTTGATGTCATTCAATGAAGCGATTGAAACAACTGACAAACACTGTGGTGTCACTATGAACTAAAACTCTATGAACTTACACTACATTCACAGACAAGCACTTACGCATACAATACATATATAATATATAATTCAGTAGTACAGAGATTTAGCCTTGTTCAAGGACATACAAGTTAATCAAAATAAGGCCAACAATTGACTCATAGAAGCAGCATTCTCAGGTATTCTGACCAAGTTCTTAGCATGGGTCAATCATTAAAAGACAAACACCACTAAGGTTCACAAAATACACTTAAAACCGTTTGGTAAATGTTGTCATTTGCATTAAAAAAAAATCAAGGCAGGATAAAATTAATGCCCATTTCAGGAATCAGAGTTTCTATAATAGTCAAAGCACAAAAAGTAAATGAAGACTGCTACTCACGATTTTAACCCAGCATTCTCCAGAGTGATCTCTTCAAGGCTGGAGGATTTGCTGACTGTGTGCAGGACCTGCTCAGTGACCTCTGAGCCCTGATGCATGAAAGACATATTTAAAACCTTGGTCGGTGACCCTTCAGGAATACTGTAAGGTGTAGCACACAAGTTTATACTTACAATGCGCAGGTCTTTGCAGTACAGTTTAGTGAACCAGGTGTTGTAAGCCATTGATGCAACAATGACAGCCAAATCTCTGTAAAAGGGAAAAACTGGATAAATGAGGAACTGTAATTTGGCTGCAATATTGCCCAACCGCCATTCGTTCCTGACCTGCTCTCCAGGTGGCTGAAGTCCAGCAAGTTAAACTCCCTGTTGTCCTGAGAGTGATAGATGGTGTCCACATCCTAGGAGAAACATTATCAATGAGTGCATGACACCCCCCTCATATTGTGCACAGTCATATATATGTAACATTCAAACACACTCACAGTAACACAGGCACAGCCCCACAGCTCTTACCCACTGCACTTCCTCCTTGCAGCTGATGCCATTATAGTCGCACAGAGCAGCGTAAGTCTCTGAGAAGCCTCCTGAGAAAGGAAAGGGGGAGGAACAAACAGAAGAGGGGGAAAAAAAGAGTTGATGAGAACAGCTGCTTCCTTCAGCAGTAAATGGCAAAAAAGGGAGGAAAATGCACACAGAAACATTTGTCCAAATTATCAATCTTTTATATGTGTGACAGCACTAAAAAGAACATCTGGGAGAGCATTTGTAAAGTACGTGTGCCAACTTCCTCTTGAGTCTGCCAAGTGGTGTACACATGCTCATATCTGTGTGTGACTGCCTGTGTATGCATGCGTGCAAATTCCCATGTTTGATGATAACGTCTCTTTTACCGCAGGCCCTCTGTGTCTCCACTGAAGTCTCGGAGCTGGTGAATACTTCCTGCTGCCCTCCGAAAGGTCACTGTCTGAATGACAGATGGAAGGGCTGCAAACATAAAAGAAACACAGATACTGTAAGGAATCATTTATCTTTTGATAACTGCGCAAATAAAGGTCATCCTTCTTTAAACTTTCCAATTTTTCACCACTGCACAGACGTGACTATTTATTCTCATTTTATCTTGAGAGGCACCGACACTTACGCAAAAATGGAGTTGTTGAATATTCGAGACAGAGCGAAATTTATATGGCTGACCACATGATTGAGGTGTTCCCGTGACTCAAACCTCAGGGAGTAACTGGACTTGTCAGTGTCGATAACAACCTGCGCATAAGAAAAATATCCGTAAAAGACTGAAAAATATCGTGGCAGTTGAATCTTAAATTTCATTTATTAAACAAATTAATGTATCTATTTTTTAATTACTTGCAATTAAACTATATGAATTATATATGAAACCACTGGACTAGTTAAATGGAATGATGACACAACTTCGTAGATTATCTGTCTGCTATAATAAACACTAAAGTGAAGGAGCAAACAACTGCAAGTATAAATGCAAGTATATCAGAGCTATATCAGGTACTTGACTATGATAGGAAAGATTTATCCCTTACATAAGCACATAGCCAGGTTTACCTTGATAACTTATACTGGACCTTAATCTCTGTTATGCTGTAGCTCTTTTCCACAACAGCCACTGACCCGGAGATTTCTATGAGCTGAACCTTTAAGAGCCCCTGAGGTCTAGATTGAAAGATCTTCCTTGTTTTTCTCCACAGCTGTTTTCACACACCCACTGCATCTCTAAACTTTTCTACACATGTGAAAGCAAATGTCTGAATCAGTCAGACTGGATTTTGCCCTGCCAGCTACCAAGTATATAGTCTGCATAATGTAAAAATTGAACCAATGTGAGAACAGTAAGTAGAAGTCATTGCAACCTTACTACAGAAAATACCTGTAGTAGTGAAAATAGGCCTGAATTGGAAAATCTTCTGTTGTGTGCTGCATGTGGCACGAATTTGGACAACGTACGGACATGATTCTGGTCCCATTGTCAAGAATTCAGTGTAAAAAACTGATATTAACTGGGTGGCAATTTGCATTTTAGTTAAGGCCACTACAATACAGTCAAAAGAAGACTATTTCCATCTGCAGTCATTTATGTTTGGTGCCATAGAGCTACCAGACCTTCCATTCGCATACATAGATAAGACAAAGAGACCAGTAGCAAGAGTCCACCACAGAACAGAGCGGGTTTGATATTCGTTAAATTAGTCCAAAAAAAAAAACATGGAGCTGGGCTATAAAGCAGCTTGCAGAGCAACAACTGTGGGCCAGCCAAAGAAGCTTGGGTAGCTAATTGGATACATAGAGGGTATCATCTCAGCCGATCTCATCTCCGTTGATATGAGCTGGCAATGAGATCAGCTGATCTGCTGAGATTACAGCTAAGCTTACTTGCCTAAACTAAAGTTATGCTTGATTATTCAAACTGAGCATCAGTGTATTTTTTCTCTCCCTGTTGTTGACTGTTGTTGACTCAGTTCTATGTTAGTTAGCAGCTGATTGAACCTGAGCCTAGCAAAGAGTTGTTTACATTAGTTCCTGATGACTTCACTCCACCTCCTTCCTTGCTCCTAACCAGGTGTCATTCTGACCATGGCTATTAGAGTCCCTAGATTGATATCTATGAATTGAATCTGTTGTGGCACTGGTCCTTGTGAGAGTTGAAAGAGGGAGACACTTTTCTCTGAGGCCTGACATAAAATAAACCGGGGGCCATCCAGGATCTCCAATACTGCAAGCTTTAATACCTTATCCCTAGAAATAACAACACACTTTCCACACTGTGAAACAGTCTGCAGTCCTTGCTGTGTAACAAAAATGCTTTTATATCCTTCAATGTCTCCTGAGTGGAGCTAAAATCTAGGTCCAGGGACCTGCCTGCAAAGCAAGGTAGTGGAAGAACTTAGAAGAAAAAAAGCAGACCTGACAATAATTTCTGGTTACAGGTTATTAATTTCCTGTAGGAGAAAAAAAGCCTTTTAATCTCACAAGCAAAGGCTTAAATAAAAACTGGGAAAAATAATTAAAAATTCTTGCAGTAAGTTTTTCCTTGTTGGCATTACATCAACAGTAGAAGAGAATAAGTTAATAAGAGAGCTCTTACTGTCACAGTGGCTGTTTTAATAAATGTCTAAAATGCTTTTATCCTGCCTTGAAGGCCATAGTGATGTAACTACACCATTATACAACTGCACAGACAACTTTGTTGTTGCAGTGGAGAGGAGTGCATACAGAGTTAATGTAAAAATTCACCTGATGTTCAGGTTGAGAATTCAAAGCTCGAATCTCCAAGAAGTTGAATGTGGTTTCTACCTGTTGTCAGAGACATAGTTGACATTTCAGCTGGCACGAATCTAAAAGCCTCACACTGCACATTAACTTGAGAGGGTGGCAGAAAGTACCTTTGTGGGAATCTTTGGCGCCAGGAAATAGAGACGCCATGTTGTGAGCACCTGGGAAAAAAAAAGGAAATAAAGCAAATTGAATGAAGACTCTTGAAAAGTTCACTGCACAGTCATACTCCCCAGGGAGAAAACAGTCCCAGGAGTTTCCATGGTAATGATGAGAGGGTCTATTCATCTACTGATCCAGCAAATTGCTATCTGTGTCAGCGATAACGTCAAGCATTAACAGATTAACATCTTCAAGTCTGAGAAATGGTGACATGCTGCAATGTTTAATCACAATGACACAAACATAAAACGTAATTTCATTATCATTCTATTACTTCTGCTGTGGGTAAACATGACAGTGGCTCATACATTTAGTTCGAGACACGCAGTGCGCCTCTGGGCCCAGCGAGCAATCTCTTCTGGTCATTTAGCATCGCTCCAGGTCTTTAATATGAGAACCGCCAAATTTCAGGGCTAATAGATGTCTTCTCTACCGTTCGCATCATAGGATCTGTTCTAAACACAGAAATGCGGGTCATGGTGGGTCAGGACATCAAATTAGCTTTTTTGCTTTGCCATCTTTGCTAATTTGGTATCTGCGGTCAGAGGCGTGTTGGATCATTTTTAGTTCAATGCAAACTTGATGGGAGTTTGGACGTGACTGGAAATTTGAAAGCAAACTCAGAGCCTGTTTGTGCATCTCCATCTGAAGGAGCACACGCACCATTTGTGTGCGTGCACCCACTTATTTTTGGCTTGGAGACATTTGTGTCATGCAGCTTTTGAGTAAATCTGATTCTGCCCCTGATTCTTCTTCTTGAGAAACAGTTTCTTTCTTTTGTTTTTCTTGCAAACACACACTCTATAAAAAGAAGAAGAAAAAAGTGTCTCGATCCATCAAGGCAAACAAAGAATAGTGATTCTTTGGCATTTTGCAGCTCTCCACCAGCCCCTAAGTACTGCCCTCTGCTCTTTTTCTTCTCCTCTTCTGCTCCGTCGCTTCCAATCATTTACTCCATTCTCTCTGATGGGCCTGCTAAAACACTCCCGAGGACAAAGTCTCCCCCTCCGCCCACCCCATGCCCATGTGTCTCTCCCCAATGAAATAAGTAATTAAATTACAGCTCTCTCATTCTACTGTTATTTTTTGGAGAAGGGAGCTTGACACAGGCCTGTCTGAAGCACACATTGACAGCCTCTTACACCCACACAGCAAGTGAGGTGTCGAAAAAGAAATCATTCAAAATTCAAAATGTGCATGTGAGATGGAGAGAGTGTAGAGAGAGGTGAAGATCTGCGCTTCACTTCAAAGACTGTCTGAAGGAGTTGATTAGAAGGACCAGATTGTATCGCATTACGGTGATGAGTCTGGGTTACGGGTGGTAGTTAAGAGAGTGCATGCAAGTAAACAGAAGTAAATCATGCTGATGCAGCAGGAGAGAGAGACACTTATCGAGTATTCCACTTCAAAGGGAGACCAGACACACAGCACACATATTGTGGGTTAATTATGCAGCTAGATAACAGATATTCAAATTCTGTTTTGTTTGACAGTTTGGGTGAGGCCTCTGCAGATAAATTCATGTAAACCATAGTGACAAAGCAAAACCACCAATCACAACCTCAAGCAAGCTTTCAACTGCTTACTTCCGACCCTGAACTTCCAGTGAAACAGGAAAACAAAAACTTAACACAATTAAACTCTCCTCTCTCCTGCCAAATGCTAACCCAGGTGCATTTGATCAACCTCCAATCTATTTTTCCGTTTTCTATGTGCACCCAGCAGGAGAGAGAGCCCTCGCGTTCCAGTTCAGCTTTTAAGAGGAAGCGGTAAATGAGACATGGATTGGATTGTTTCTGGCAGATAGACATATCAAAGTGTCTGAATATCAAAGGCTGTACATGCAGAAACTCTCCTAACTGCCCATCCTCACCACACGATGAATCATTACAGCATCCAATGAGTGGAATTCTGCACTGCCGAGGCAAAAATGGACCTTTTTTAAAAGCTCATTCACTCACTGGGGGAATTGTAGAAGGGGCGGCAGAAATAACCAGTGTGTCGAAACAGTATAAAAACTACACTAGTTAGACAAGGATTTGTTTTATATTATGCTTATAAAGATGTACGGTTGCCTTGCTGCACTTAATGGTGCACTCAATCAATTATACCTGTTCTGCAGTGTGTGTTACCCATGCATGAGTTGTGTCCTTTTCTGCAAACACAGTGGAAGTGTTACACATTTGCTAACACTGGCATTCATACAGGGTCCAGTCTGATTTCCTGTCTGCCGTGTACAAGCTGATTGCCCCAGATTCTATTCAGATAGCTGGCTGAGTTTTGCACAGTCAAATACAAATTTCATATCTCTGTCCTATATTCTCTGATGAAAGCACCCCAGAATCAAAGGCTGTGAGCTGTTCGGCCCCCACTGCCTCCACAGGCACAGAGGGATCCATAGCCACTCTCGCAGATCCTGTCTATCCAATATTCATCCTGCCAAGCCGCCAACAGCAGTCACAGAAAAGGGGGAGCAGCCGTAATGCAGTTAGCAAGTGACCAAAGAAGCAAGATGTTTACTGTCGCTGTTAAATAATGAGGATCTCTTGCTTCTGCTGTCACAGAAATCAACATTGTGACAGAGATCCATTAACACTGCAGGGGAAGTAAACATCAAAGACAGTACATACATGATGCATGTCTCAGGCTGCTTATGTAGCAGGCTTATGGCATTCTTTTTCTTCTACATCAGCAGACCAGTGCTAAGACAGAACCCATTAAACCAGCCAAGTCGGCAGTGAGGAAACAGAAAGCAGCAACTTACCAGAATTTTGTCCTCTGTTTTGCCATTTTTAGTGTCAAGCTTAATGCCACGAACAAACTTTATAGATGATTTATCGATAATCTTCCTGATGCTTTCTGTGGATGACAACATTAACATATGTTACAACATAATCTCTCTCTCTGTTTCAGTCTCCGAAAGGAGCAAACAACCATTTGTGCAAATTTGATAGTTTTTCATATAAAAAGAACAGTTTGCAAGCTGTTGTGTCTTAGATTTGTGAATCCTTTTTCACTCTTCCAAATTTGCAGAGACCTCAAAATATTCTCTACATTTATTTTTTTTGTCTGTTAATATTGTACAGTAATACTAAAATACAGGCAAAGCAAAATCCTACAACAATAATATCATTTTGAAGGACATAAAATGAGACATAATGTTCACTGTGCAGGATTATTTGCAGGACCTCTTGTCTCTAAACATTGATTTTTGCAAAGTTAACATTGCCTAAAGGGATACAGTAGAAAAATCACATTCAGAAACCAAAAGTAATAAGGAGTAGTGTGGCAGAAATTCAAATTAAATGGAACACAAAAAAACAACATGCAAACAATAAGGAAGGATCCTTTAACTTCAGATTACTGTACAAATATCCCAGCTCAACATTAGCTGAGGGATGTGTCAGACTTGCAATGTACGCTGACCTGTCGTGGCATTTTAGATGATAAAAATAACCGCGATGACAGGATCATGATTATACGTGAGAAACAAACCTCTTATATGCAAAATCATATAATCTGCACGTAACACTGAAGCAGAATGATTGACAGGGTTTTAGGTTGTGCTCCAAAGCACAAAGGCACTCAGTGGGAAGTTACACGATTTCGTGGATTAATTACTGAATGACTGTGATACATAACAATGTTTTGCCTCCGAGGTATTTCCTTTGAGGTAGTCACAATATGCTTCAGTGTTATTTTCTTACTCACAGGAGCAAATAACACATTTGAGCATCAGTGTCTATGATTCACTGAGAACTGTTCCTGTCAAACAGTGTCACTGTCGGTGTTGTGACCCCTGACTTGTATATACAGCACATAACGTCCGTGATGCGCCAAAAGAAGCATCTTACTCACAGTTTGGGAACACATAGCACTGACACACTATCGCAGACACATACAGTCGCTAGCAGAAATTACATGATTCAGCATCTCAATTACTCTAGCTCCAGAGCTTCCAACTGACAAGTTTATGAGGAAATCGATACAGAGGCTGGGTTGTTGGGATTGGGCAGTGGAGTTGATACAGTCACAATGGACAGTGATGCAAACAATTCTTTCCTATTTCTATTTTTAGGTGCTCATAAGTCTTAAGGGGAACAGGTTCCATTGCAGTTATGTACATTTGGTCAGATTATGTACATACTTTACTCGAATATTTGGATTTAATGTCCCATTACACTTCTAATCTATCAAATTTCAGCAAAAATACAGCACTTTTAACTTTACTGCATCTCAACTCTTATATGAATGACCTGTGATGAAGCTACATTTTCCTAAATAAATCATTTAAGTATCATCACCCTAACCAGACACAACACGTAAATGACGCTCATACCTTTTTGCATGGACAATTAATAATCAGATAACATGATGACACTTATAGGATCCTTCCTGGAACAAGAGGACTCGTTTTTGACACTTTTAGTACATTTTGCACCATATTAATAAGAGCTATGCGAACCAAGAATTGAGACCTGATAATTTAAGTCAATCCAGCTGTTAGGAAGGCTCTTTCCAGTGACCTAGTGCATGCAGGCAGACCACCAGGTTCTCCACCTGTCAATCAGTGCAGGAAAGGCGGGATGAGGTGGTGCAGCCGCCCGGCAGGTGGCTGAATGAAGAGGCAGGGATTCCACTGGATTAATCATCACAGTGAGCCTAATAGAGCCATTAGGAGTAATTAACACAGCAGCAGAGTCCCTGCTACCCTGAGCATGTGTGCTGCTGGTGCATGTGTCAGTGCTTTTGCGCGCGTGTATGATATTGAAATCGAGGCATTGCTGTGACTTTGACATATGTAAGCTGTTGCTGTTTGAGAAAAGGGGAGTAAATATTTGTGCATTCTGTCGCGCTGTTGAGTTTGTATAGCTCATGCATTTTTGTTGGCAAGATACGGTGAACATCTGCCTGTATCAGTGCCCCTCGCTTCACTTTCCCACGCACGCGTACACACGCACGCACGCGTGCAATCAGCAGCAGCGCTCTGGCTGGTTAGGCTGCAGAAAAACAAAGATGAAATACTCAAGAGTTGAGGGTTAGAGAGGGGGAAATCTCACTGTGAAATGGGTGTCTTGGTTTTTTTTTTTAAAAAGAAAAAGAAACGTGCAGGGAACAAGACGGTACCAGACCCCACGAGTACACACCATTATTTTCCACAACGCCCCTTTCCCTCTTTGGCCTAGGGCTGGGGTTTTTTTATTACCTGATCCACCCAGAGAGGGCAGGCTTAAAGCTAATTTCCCTGCACTGTAAATAATTAATTTGAAGATTAACTAATTCACATGCGCGGGGAAAGAAGAAGAAAGAAAAAAGCCGCCCCGGCAAGGTTCGGGACTGATTGCAAAGGTGTAGCTCATGACAAGCATCCAATGCGTCTGTACGGTCGCAGCCTCCGACAGCCGCGCGGAGAAAAAAGCATCAGGAGCCTGACCACACACGCGCCCGGGGCGACCGCGAGCACACCGACACAAGACCGGGAGCAAAATAACCAAGCGGCGGTCTTTACCCACCTGTGATATCCTTGCTCACACTCACGAAACCAGAGGCAGTGATCTCTTTAGAAGCCATGTCTGTTCCTCTCTCCTATCGCCACCCCTCCTCCTCTTCCTCTCCTCACCTCCTCCCCAATGCCTCCCTCTCCCTCTCTCTCTTAGAAATGGACAGAAAGAATGCTCTCTCTCCCAGGCATTCCAGCAGAGCACCCGACTGCCCGACGCGCTTCCTGGAAGAAACCGTTTGGATGTCGGGAGGCTGGATGGTGGGAGAGACGGGAGGTGGAGGGAGTGATGATGTTGAGGAGGAGGAGGCGGGGATCACTCTGGGATAATGAGGCTGTGGTTAGGCTACCTGTGAGAGCACGCCCAAGTTAGAAATCAGAAGATGCAAAGCAGCAGAAACAAATGTTACACCCAAAATAGAGATTGCCACTTAAAAAAACAAGAAAAGATTTACCCTGCGGGTGTCACGGTTGGTTGTCCCTGGGACTCCACAGAAGAGGCAGGAAACGGGATGGGTGTAGGTGGAGCTTGTCAGCGATTCTAAACAGTGAACATTGCTTATCAGATTCATCCAGGTAGAGCTATTCTTCAGTTAACTTACGTTTCCGAACTGGACAGTTGCAGTTGATGGGAAAGTCAGTAAATGGTAAAAACGTGATTCCATATGGAAATCTTGAGGTCTCTGAAATTATCACAATTTATTCTGAAGGGGTCAAGCTGAGTCTAGGTCTGAGAGCTCGAGGCATTTCAGGTGAAAATCATGAAATTCATGAAATTATTAGAGTCAATCACCATCAGGAAGTATGAATGGAATAGCTCTGCAAATGTTCCACAGGACTAACCTCCAAGTGGCAGTAGTCTTATGTCTATTTACGTTTTTATTCTTTAGACAGTGCATGAGCTGCAGTTTAAAGTGTTTTACATTGCCTGGGCCTCGGTGCAGCCGCCCTAGTTCATTCACTTACTGAGACAAGCCATCCTCCCTTTAAGGCCACCCTCACTTTGATTGTCTGGGTTGAACAGTAGCTGGGTTATAGCCAGATGTGTCCCTGAGATGCATGTTAGGGACAATCATTGTTGTTGAAGACTGCTAGTAACTGCACATTCAAAGCAGTCTGAAGCCTGAGCTTTTGGCTCACATGTTTTACTTGCACATACACTGATCTCATTATTTGAAAAATGAAAGGTGTTTAATATGAGCACCACGGTAACAATATGAATATGGCAGAAAATAAGCAATGGCATAACAGGTACGATCTAAAACTCTAGGGATCCAAATTCATTAACCAAACCAAACCAAAGTTATTATGATTCATCCTGTGGGCTCTGTGGATATCCACAACAATCTCGTATTTGTTGAGATATTTCATCCCGAACCAATGTTCTGGTCTGTGCCGTGGGCTGACTATAAACTTGCAGACTGGGGGATTGAGATTTCCTCAATCAATTTACTAAACTTTATCGCACTGTAACTGACTGGATTACAGGGACTATAAATAAATGTTCACCAAAAGGGAAAATGAGCATCCACAGCCGTAAGCAGTAGACCGAAAGGGAGGCTATAAATAGAGCAAACAAAAGATAACAAAAAATAACCTGAATGAGTAAAAAAAATGTGAAAATGCAGGATTTTAGCATTGGCAGGAGGCCCAAAAAAGCCACACCATGATTTAACACAGATCAAAGAAGGGGAAGAAATTAGAAATACTTTCACCTCTGCAGCAAGTTTGTAAGGTCAGACCACAACAACAGAAGATAAAAAAGAAGAAAGGGAAAATTAAGCTCCTTGCTGATAATAAATTGGATGTGCTGTGGGTTTAAATCTTCACCTCTCCGCCTTTTTGTCAGCCTAAAGGCTCCACCTGTTAACTAGTTGACAGAGGAAGGAAATATCTCCACCAAGATGATAATCTCTGTCTGTGGTTTGCTGTGAGAGTTGGGTGAAACCCCTCCTATGAGATCCAATTAGTCTCTGTCTTATAGCCTCTGAAATAAAACCGGCTCTGTAAAATAACAGGGACTTCTGAAATATACATCATTTTAACTGTGGAAATCTCAAAAGCTTTTTCCTTTTTTTTTCCAAAGAACAGGAGGGGAGTTGTACATTAATTCTGGACATTCAATTCTTGACAAAATGAACCTCATCCATATCTTCCTGCTGCTGGGTGAGTATCACAGATAACACTTGATTGACTGTCACACACCTTCTGTCACACCTCTGCTGGGCAGAATTCCAAAAAAACGAGCGTTGTCATGACAAAACTCTTGGTACCGGTGGACAAAACCATGTCCCAGCAGTTTAAGAGGCATCTGCACTCTGCTGTCAGAGTAGTGCTGACACAGAGCCAAAGAGCACTCTTATTTGATGCAGATATCAGTAGTATGGTATGCGGGGTTATAAATTTTACTAGGCTGTTAGCCTGCAGCAGGAACTTTCAGACAGTATTAAATTAAAATGATGTGCACCAGCCAGAATCTGAATAGGGCTAATGGAAATGATTTGGACTGAGCTGTCAAATTGTTGTGCAAGCTATTCCATCCCAGGCAGCCATGAGTTATATTTTAAAACTATATGGTGTAGTAGCACTATGTGACACTGTTGTATATGTGCGTGTATAGCGTGGGCGTGTAACAGGAAAATACAGCAAATCTGTGTACATTCCTTCTGTTCCCATGGGGATGATAACTGTCTAAAGAGTTTGCTCATTAAGGCATAGGAAGCTCTGCTCTCTGTCAAACTGTGTGGCAGTCCCGTAACTGTGAGTGTTAGCAAAGAGATGTGGCTCAGATGGTCTTCAAAGCAACTCCTTAGAAGAGCGAAAGATTGTTATGCCTTATAGGCACAGGTTTACTGCTTCTAGATGTTTTAAATTTACTTGTAGACACTTACTTTAAAAATATATATATTTTTATGTCTTGATTATATAATATAAAAAACAGCAGTGGACCATGACTGACTCTCTGGCATGCAGCCATGTGGGAATAAGCCATCTGAGCTGCCTGTGGTGTTCATGCTGATACATTTTACTCATGAATGACAGAGAATAGAGAAAACATACTGTACCCAAAATGTCACTGATGTGACAGGAACAATCTGTGGTAGAATATATATATATATATATATTTTTTTAAATCGACTGTTTCTGTGAAACACTTTGTCCGTATTTCAGGTATGGCTGCATTTGTTCTCCAAGCTGATTCGCTGCAAGGTACGGCAGATGTTATCATCACACATAAGTACAATATGTCTGTCATAAGCAGAAGAAAGACGCCAACGGAGTTATCGTTCTCCTGCAGGTCTTCTAAAGACTGTTGTGTCCGTGTGGCCCCCAGGGTCAAAAGTCTACCTCGGAGAATCTGTGCTGCTGAAGTGTGCAGTTGAGTCAAACTCCACTGCTCAGTGGGGCTTTGAGTGGGACAAACCAAAAACTGTTCTGACCCTGAACCCCAGGCATGTGGTCTCAAATGACAGCTACTTCATCACCGCTGTAACAAGGGAGGACGCGGGCAGCTACAGGTGCAAAGCAGGACAAACATCCAGCCAGCCGGTGGAGCTCATCGTGTCAGGTGAGCAGCTACAACATCTGCTGTGTTGTGTATTGTTTGTGAGCCCAAATCTTCTTGCTGGTTTAACCGAGATTAAGATCATAATGTTCAAAATATTTAAATTAATTAAAAAACAAACTTTTACAAGGGAAAACATTATGCTAATTTCACGCCCCTTATATTTATATTCAAGAATCTTTTGGATTGTTTACAGTTCCTTATTTATCATATACTGGGCCTTAGTGCAACCCTTCAGTTCAACTAAATTATGCTGTTTTATCTTCTTTTCTCCTAAAGAACGCTCTCCCTCTTTGCCAACTTTCTTCTGATTGGCTGACCCTTGAAAACATAATGTTAAACCAGAATGTGGGTGTGATTTTGGTTCAGCCCAAGCTGTGTGTCTAACATGACCATATTAATGATATCCACTCTCTATGATATTATAAAGATCTGCTAGCATTTCAGGTAGTCTGCAGGCTAAGATTCTGCTTCACAAAGATTATACGGGCACACTCTGATTTCAATTTTAAACCATTCTTCAAACCTTTATTATGAGCATCTACCACTGGTACATTATTTATATGACAGAAAATTAGGAAATGCAAAGTAAACCCACTTTACCTGTCATGTCATTCAGTATTCTCTGCACAAAGGACAGCTAAGGCAGATCAGTAAGTAATACGTTTTGTATGATTTAGATTCCAATAAGAAAAGCTGAGGGAATCACCAAACTGATCATAAGGACACGTGAATGCCTGTATCAAATTTTAAGTGGTATGAAAATTAAGTTGGTTCATAAGAAAAGTCAATTACCTCAATAGGACAAAATGTACCAGTCATCTGTGGATTCCCGTGTCCCTGCTGCAGCTGAACTTCAGAATATGATTTCTTCTTTCATTACTGCACATTGCTGCGGTGCATGAAATGTAATCGTGCAATAATTATAATGTAATTTCCAGAGATATGTAGTTATAGCGGTTGTGTTCCCATGTGAGCCACTTATTCTGCAGCCAAACAAGGCCCGCAAGTGCATTTATGATAATGATATTCATGAGTAAAACTTTAACATGGAAACATTGCCAGTTGCTACAGTATGAAAGTGCTCTGGTTCTTCTTCTAATCTTATTGCGTCTTTCAACTCCAGAGCTGACCCCTCCCTCGCTGATTCTGGCTCCCAGCACGAGATACATCTTTAGTGGGGAGAGATTCAGTATGCGCTGCCCCTCATCTCAGACGAACGCCAAAGGCTGGAAGCTGAGGCATTACTCTCCAGACTGTACACAGAGGAGAAAAGCTGTCCAAGGTGACCAATGTTCACCACTAGAGTGTGCTGTTATCACAAACAGGACTGATGCGTGTGTCTCAATGCTACCATTGGGAACAGTGGGCTGTACTGGTGTGAGGGACCTGAGGGTCGCAGCAACTCAGTCAGGATCTCAGCAAGCTGTGAGTATTGCTGCCTCTGGACAAAATGGGGAAAACACACCAGAGACAAATTATAACACGGTGGGTTTTAAATGTGACGTATGAGGGAGAGCATTTTTGTTTTATGTGGA